CTAATGACAGCAAAAGGTAGGTATAAAGCAACAACTATTCATGCAGTTAATGACCTGAGTACTTCAAGTCCGGTGCAAAAAGGAGTAATCGCACGGGCCCGCCCCGTGCGCTCCAGTCTGGGTGTACTGCTGTTACAAAGCACAAAATGCATAAAAACGGATAAGGACGAAAGGTTGTCCATTTTTCATCACCCACTTCAATTCAGCAGCCGATGAAACTAGGAAGCTGAAATTTTGGAGCATGTTTCTACCCCATGTGCGAAGCTCCACCTCTGAAACCATCATCCTCCTACGCCTGGGTCACACGTACTGAGTACGAACTAGTGCAAAAACGCATAATCGCACTGGGTGCACGCCACAAATGATTCCTTACACACGCAGACACACATACACACATACGCAGATCTTATAAATACGCATTCTATACATACACGTCCTATAAATACTTAGATTCTCGACAACATGCTTTTCCCACAATGTCACTGAAAAAAATTGCAAAATCTCCTCCTCCTCTCTTCTCCTCCCCGCCTCTCCCCCTTCCTACCCTCCTATCTTCATATCAAAAATAATTAGCCAACGCATGGGCTGCCCGTGTGAAGATGCGTTTTTTGCATTGTTTACCACAGATTTTTGTCGCTAACGGTACTGTTTTTCCCGGCAGATGCTTTTAGGTAAAAGAATCTCAGACTGACCGCCAGGACTGTCAGGAAACACCCCTTCAAAATCCCAGTTTTCTAGTTTCTCAGATTCCCGAATTAGGACTTACCCGAAAAAAATTTGGCAGACCTGTACATGGGTACCACGCATGCCTGATGTCTGGGTTTGAGCTCGTTAAGACGTCGACGGGGAACATCCCCTTAAAATTTCAGCTTTCTATCTGGTTCTCGAGTTAGCGACTTGCCCGCAAAAACTTTCAGGCGCCCGTACATGGGTACTACGCGGGTAAGAGCGCCCATTTTGAGGGATTGGGGCCAGTACGTCCATGTAGATTAATTTCCCAAAGTTTCTGCCTTATAGCTTTTGTAGGTTTTGAGATAAAAAACCGTAACAAACGTACACACGGACACACAGACACACACACAGGCAACCCCTTGTCAATATGCGTTTTCTGCACTGCATAGCTGCAAACCCAGGCTGGAACGCACTAGGCCCTCCGGTGCGATCATGCGTTTTTGCACTAAACTCGCAGATGGTTATTAGCAGGAATGATCCCTACACTGTAGCCTAACACTTGGGCTAACATTGTCCGTGTTTTGATCCTTACCAGCATGCAGGAACAAGGGCATCAGTTGGGATGAAGGTGGTGCATTACAGTTGGGACGAAAGTGATGCACATCCAGGCACATGATTACCGGTTTTTGCATGAAGTCCAGTCGTTTTTTCTGTAAATGCTCGCTTTGTGGAAAATGACAAATACAAATTTTTTGAAAAAAATGCAAATTTCCAGTTCATTAAAAAGTGGAAGTATTGCTCGAGCGGTCGTTTGTCAAAAAATGCACGCATTTACATATACGATTGCGGTTAAGGTCCGAGCTGTGAACGAATTTTTGAAAATATGCAAATTTTCAGTTCATTGAAAAACTGAAAGTATTGCTCGAACGTCGTTTTTCAAAAGAAAAATCCAAGTTCATTTGCATATACAATTGCAGTTCAGGTCCGAGTTGCTAAAAGTGCACGTTCATCTGCGCAGGCAGTTGCGGTTCAGATCCGAGTTGCTAACAATTTTTGGGTTCAGGAGCTGCTTGAGGTTGTGTTTGGGGAGCTAGAG